GTGGATTTTTTTAATGTTATATAATTTTTTATAAACATATGTTTTTCATATTAAAGTTGCAATCTTGTATAATTTTCTTTTCATCGTAATTCTACATTTTAAGTTGCATGTCTATGAAAGGCACAAATTTTGTGGCAAAACAGGTTAATTTATTTTTCATCTTAATTGCACATTTTTTTTGTAAGATAAATATATGTAATATGATAGTGTACACTTAATCTAAGTTTTTTTATTTTAAAAAAAAAATTACATTTTTTTGAGGTTTTTTGACCTATTAAAAAAAAACAAAAAAAAAAACACCTACTTAACCTGTTTGTCCAGTTAACCGCCCCGATTAATCCGATTTCGATTCCCGCCCTTTGACATGTTAACCGATCTTGTTCATTTTTACGAACGCCTAGTTGAACCAGCTGATATTGCATTCACTGACCCCCCTCCTTGGTGTTTCTCCAGTGATAACATGCGTACAAATTGCGCTCACATGACTGCCATACACGTGTTTCAAATTACACAAAGTAAATTGGCTTTTTGCCGTAAATCTTCAAAGTTCAAACTTCTAACCCTGGCAGTCCGAAAATTACATACCAAAAATAAATTGGTGTTTCAAACACGTTATTTTTTTGGTTTTTTTTTTTATCTCAAATAAATAAATTTAAAAAGAAACTTGTTAAAAAAATGAAAAAGAAAAAAATATGAAGCTGCAAACCGGATCATGGACGTCAGATCCTGTTCGTGGCATCAGATCCATCATCGCAGCGATATTATTGTATCAAACTTATCGGGATCCCCTTTTTAATTACCCCAAAAAAAGGTGAAAAACGAAATCGGCTTTGTGCATTGTTGAAAGATCGTAGTTCAAACCTCTGACCGTCCCTTCAAAAGACACTCTTCAATAAGACAATTTTCGGAAAAAGAGAGGTAGAGAAAACGTTGACTCACGACGCTTTGCAAGAAGACTCAATTTTCATTGCACAAATGTCTACTACAGTCCATAGTAAATCCACATAAATGACTCTTAAATGTCCAACAAACCTTCACCTCTCATCATCCAACCTGCTTATTGAGCCTCACATTCCAACCCCGCAAAAAAAATTGATCAATAAAACACAGAAAAAGCAAATCACTGAGCTTATCTGTAGATCTTTAAAGCATGAAAAATACCTGCTTTCTAGCCACTGGAATTTTCCATTTATGCATTATTGCAGTAGCTGGAAATGTCATAAACATTGGTTCAGTGCTCAGAGATCCAAAAGAAACCTGGTCTTCACCCAACTTCAATTTTTCATTCGGTTTCATTCCCTCTTTCTCTGACCCCAATCTCTATCTGGTTGGAATTTTCTTCTCGACACGTCCTGTATGGACGTCGGGTGCCGAACCTGTAGATTCAGGTGCCTCTCTCTCTCTTCTTTCTGATGGAAATCTTTGTCTCTTCAACGGCTCGGGCACCCGAGTTTGGGATTCAGGTACTGCAAACATGGGTGTCTCCTCTGCAATTCTTGAAGATTCAGGTAACTTTGTCCTTAGAAATGGCAGTGGTTCAATATGGGAAACCTTTGAACATCCGACTGATACGATCTTGCAAGGCCAGAACTTCACTCTAGGTATGAAACTGGCAAATGGGTTGTATTCATTTTTGTTTGAAAGACCAGGGAATTAGAGCTTGAAATGGTCGGGTAATTTGAGCTATTGGAAAATGGCGCCTGCTGTAGCCGAAGGGCTTAAGTTCCCCGTTTTGACACTACAGAGCGATGGGATTCTGGTTCTCAATGACCCATCTTTGGATCAGCCTTATCGCATTGCTTATAGCAATGATTACACTGAAGTGATTGATGTTTTCAGGCTGGTTAAGCTTGATCCAGATGGGAATTTGAGGATTTATAGCTTTAAAGATTCGTCATTAACAGTGCGCTGGGTAGCTTTGCAAGATCAGTGCAGGATTTATGGGTATTGTGGAGACATGGGGATTTGTACTTATTATAGTGGTTCGAAGCCAATATGTATATGTCCATCTCTAAATTTTGAGTTAATTGATCCAAATGATTCAAGAAAGCATTGTAAAACGAAGGTGGAGCTCTTTAATTGCCTCAATGGAACCACAACTTTTCAACTAAACAACTCAGAGTTCGTAAATTCTCCATTGGAATTACGCCCTGATCAATACACCATATTGGGCTTTCGCCAGTGCCAAGCTGTGTGTTTGCAAAGCTCCCCCTGTTTTGCTTCTGCTTTCCTAGCTGATGGCTCAGGCATCTGCTTTTTCCAGATTTCTGGTTTCACCATCATTTTACCAGTCGCCCACCATTCTCAGCACTGTGTTTGTGAAGGTTTGCAGTCCTTATCTCCCCAACCCACCTCTTCTCTCCCCTCAAATGAATGGAAGTCGGAGTCCCAATACAAAGCTCATGGTGGGCTTAGTGGTCTCTTCACTCTTCACCATTGTTGTCCTGCAAGCTTTCCTCTCATGGTTTGTCCTTCAAAAGGGGGCTCAATTACGCAGACAGTCAACAAAATATTCATTTGAGGAATATGCTTCTGATGCCCCTGTTCAATTCTCTTTCAAAGAGGTTCGTAGTGCCACGAGAAACTTTAGAGAGAGGATTGGTGTTGGTGGTTTTGGGGTTGTTTATAAAGGGGTGCTTCCTAATAACACAGTAGTTGCAGTAAAGAGGCTCGAAGGGATTGAACAAGGGGAGAAGCAGTTTAAAATGGAGGTTGGGACCATTGGTAACACCCATCATTTGAACCTGGTTCGATTAATGGGCTTTTGCTCAGAAGGTCAACACAGGTTGCTCGTATATGAGTTCATGAGAAATGGATCTCTTGATAACTTCTTGTTCATGGATGGAGAAGGCTCTATAAATCTCCATTGGGAGGCTAGGTTCAACATAGCTCTTGGCACAGCAAGGGCGTTAACATACTTGCATGAAGAGTGCCAGAACTGCATAATTCACTGTGACATTAAGCCAGAAAACATACTTTTGGATGAGAATTATGTACCTAAGGTCTCCGATTTCTGGTTGGCAGAGCTTATGAATTCGAAATTCCATCGATTACAAAGTTTAAACGTTAGAGGAACAAGAGGGTACTTAGCACCAGAATGGCGTGCGAATCGTCCGACAACTTCAGAGGCATATGTGTATAGTTATGGGATGGTTTTGTTAGAGATCATAAGTGGGAGAAGGAACTTTGATGTCTCCGAAGAAACAGAGAACAAGACGTTTATGCTATGGGCTTATGAGGAGTTTCATATGGGGAGAACTGAGAATATAGTTGATAGAATGCTAGGTGGAGAGGTTAACATGGAGGAAGTTAGCAGAGCAATTCAAGTGAGTTTCTGGTGTGTACAAGAGCAGCCTTCTAAGAGACCAAGCATGGGTAAGGTTGTGCATATGCTAGAAGGAATTGTGGCTACAGGGAAACCTCCTCCTCCCAAGAAGTGATGAAGAAGATGCATCTTCCTTATTTTGCTGAGTAATTATGGGGCTTTTCAACATGGTTTTTATTTTTGGGTGGTAGGAATTAAGCCTACGACATAGCGTTACCCTTGGTAGGAATTGAGCCTACGACATAGCGTTGCAAATCGTCAAGCGCAAATCAATTAAGCTCTGACTCTTTTCCTACGTGATTAACATGTTATGTTCCCACTTTGGCATTTGCAAGCATTGAAATTTGGATTTATTTTTTGGTTTTTGTTTCTCCTTGCCTATTTATGGTGCCTGCAAGCTCTTTTTGGATTATTTAAATTATTGTTTGTGTATGTTAGTGTTAACATAGTATAGAGTTGGTATATTGCATAGAGCTGACATAGTGTGTGAAAACCGTGTGCTTGGGTGTTTCTTTTATTTTTGGGATCTTTTCATCAACTTATAAATTATAAAGAGGCTATCGAAAAAAGGAACAATAAAACCATATTTTTTTCCTTCCTCATGGATGTAGGCTGTGTTTAGCCGAACCATGTTTATACTGTGAGTTCTTTTTTCCTTCTTTTTTATGAATGAATTATTTAACATGATATCAGAGTAATTTTTAAGAACTTATTTGGTAAAGCAGTTTGGTCTCATTCTTTTGAGGCATTTGCAGTTTTATGCTCTCTCTGATTGTAAGTCCATCCAAGTCTTTGGGTTTTGGGTTTGTTACTTTACGATATCTATGGTCTCTTTGATTTAGTGCGATCTGCTCTCTATCTCTCTGTTTAATTTATCTCATCTTTATCGCTTTGTTTTCTCTCTCTAGCGCTCCATCTATATCTTTTTTCTCTATCGTTACCTTCTATCTGTATCTCCATATTTTTATTGTCAACCTACAATCAACCTATTGAAAAGCTTATCTGCATCCATTGAAGTTTTTTTATTAGGACAATTTTTACCGTTGATTTTCTCAAGTCTTTGGGTCTTTCTATCTTCATTTTTCAGCATATTTGTTTTGCTGAATGCTGAAAATTTCCTTTTGCAAATTATTCTTTTTCAACTTTGGTTTGCCTCCATTTTGCTGCCTTACACCTCATACAAGTGCGATTTGGCCTCCAAAATTTTTCTTGTCTCCCTTTTTCTCTCTTCCATTTGTCTTTCAGGGTAAAGTTGCTCTGCACAGGAAAGGCAAAGCTTCTTGTATACATCAAAAGGAGAAAGTGGTTTACTTTTTTGTAAAATGGAAATCAAGGTTCAGGAGGAGAATCATGTGATGCCTTTGATTTCAAGTGAAGACTATGTGGAGAACAAACTCAATCATAACATTCAAAATGAGGTGGAAGCTAGAAATGATGAAGAACCTCAAGAAACCAACCCCTCACCATTTGATCCCCAAGTGGGACCCAATCATCCTCGAAGAAACGCTCAACTCCCAAGTAAGTATCATGATTTTTACATTTTTAATGCTTCCACCAATTACCCAATTCAAAAGTTTGTTAACTATTCCAATGTCTCTCAAGAATATATCTGCCATTCAAGAACCTGCCAGCTTTCAAGAGGCTTCTTCCTATCCTGTCTGGAAAAAGGCTATGGAAGAAGAGCTTTGGGCCCTCGACAAAAATAAAACTTGGGAACTAGTCAAATTACCCAAAGGGAAAAAGGTGGTTGGGAATAAATGGATTTATAAAATAAAATACAACAGCAATGGAACCACGACTTGTTGCTAAAGGGTTCACCCAAACTTACGGCGAAGATTATAAGGAGACATTTGCTCATTTTGTTAAAATGAATACTGTCAGGGTTTTATTATCAATTGCGCTAATTATGATTGGCCTATATATCAACTTGACATTAAAAATGAATTCCTGCAAGGCGACCTTTATGAGGAAGTTTATATGAAAATTCCTCAAGGACATCCTCATGAAAATTCCAATCTTGTGTGCAAGTTAAAAAAGGCTATTTATGGCCTAAAGCAATCCCCTAGGACCTAGTACGCAAAGTTAAGCTCTTCCTTAAAAAAATATAATTTTAAAAGATGTAATGCAGATTCACCTATGTTTGTGACAAAAAGAGAAACTGGAAGTGTTGTGGTTCTTGTTTATGTCAATGATATCATTGTCACTAGGGATGATGCCCAAGGCATTACTCATCTTAAGAATTACCTCCACCAGGTATTTGACCTAAAAGATTTGGGCAAATTAAAGTATTTTTTTGGGAGTTGAAGTGGCTTATTCAAAAAATGGTATATTTCTCTCCCAAAGGAAGTATACTCCTGACCTTTTGAAAGAAACTTGCAAATTATGAGTTAAACCTAGTGAGACTCCTATTGTAATGAATTGTAAGTTAACTATTGAAGACAGTCAACCTCTTAAAGATAATGGAAGGTATCAACGGTTGGTAGGAAAATTAATATATTTAACCATCACAAGACCAGATATAACTTATGTTGTAAGTATGGTGAGCCAATCCATGCATGCTCCTCGTACTTCTCATATGGAAGTTGTCGAGAAGATCATAAGATACCTCAAGGGTTCTCCTGATAATGGAATTTGGATGCATAAAACTCGTCAAGTTGATACTCTTAGGTATTGTGATGCTAATTGGGCTAGGAATCCATCAGATAGAAAATCAACTACTAGTTTCTGCAAATTTGTTGGTGGAAATATTGTTACTTTGGAAAAGCAAGAAACAAAATGTTGTGGCTCGTTCTAGTGCTAAGGCAGAATATCGAGTCATGGCTTCCACTACATGTGAACTTATGCAGCTTAAAGCTCTCCTCCAAGAACTTGGTTTTATACATGGTTCTCCAGTCAAAATGTATTGGGACAATCAACCTGCAATCCACATCGCTTCTAATCCAGTTTTTTACAAAAGAACCAAACATATCGAAGTTGATTATCATTTCGTCAGGGAAAAAGTTCACGCTAAGTAATTCAAACTCCATATATCAATAGTGAAAATCAACTTGCAGATATCTTTACAGAAGCTGTCAGAAAATGGATGCTTAAACAGATTCTGGGTAAATTGGGTACTTTAAATCTATTTGCACCAATTTGAGGGGGAGTGTTAAAATAGTATGTAGTTGGCATATTGTATAGAGCTGGCATTCCGTATGAAAACCATGTGCCTGGGTGTTTTCTTTATTTTTTGGATCTTCTTATCAACTTATAAATTATAAGGAGGGTATCAGAAAAAGGGATAATAAAACCGTATTTCTTCCTTCCTCGTGGCTGTAGGATGTGTATAGTCGAACCACGTATATGCTCTGAATTCCTTTCTTCTTCTTTTTTGTGAATGTATTATTTAATAGTTAGGCACTATTTTTGGGGTTACATCCGATCTTGTTGAGAGCTTCTACTTTTTTGTGCCCCCAGAAGTTGTAGGTACTAAAACCCCAACTTTTAGGGCACCTTTATTTTTCTGAAAGAAATCTTTCTAATTTTCTAAACGTTTCGCGTTTGACACGGTTTCATCTAAAAGTTCACAAAGTAATCTTCCAATAAAAATTCGCATTCCTTTGTTAAAAGATGAAAGATGAAGTTCTAAGGAGAGATATGACCTTAATCTTTCATAACGTTTTTGTTGATCACTATTTACTATGCATAATATAAATACATAATATAAGTATTATTAATATGATAAAATATAATATAATATAACATAATATATATTATATTATATAATATAATATTGTGTTATAATATTATATAATATATATAATATATACTTATTATATCATATATAACATTTATATTAGTAATAATATATTTATTATATTAGAAATAATATATTTATTATATTATTACATTATTCATAACATATAAATATCTAATATTATACCATATATTATATATAATATATAAGTATCTTATATTATATTATAATTTATGTATTATTATATTATAATAAATATTATATTACATGTTATACATAATACAAATATACATTAATAAAAAGGTGTGGCCCTAGGATTGAAAAGACTAGACGGTAATGTGTGATGGATAGTCTGGGCTGACCCATGTCTATCCGAGAGCTCTTTATGGGAGAAGTATGGTGTGGAGGTTCACAAGACACTTGGCAACCTGGCTAAGCTCAAGGCCGGATTATATTCAAGGCACACCCCAAAGGTGGTCCCTTCCTACACCTACCTCATTCCTTCTCATTTGTGCATGGGAAGAGGCTTATTCTCATGTACTACCACTCCATCCCTCTCAGGATCAATTGGTATCAACACATTTAGCTTATGGCAAGTTCTCAGTGGCAAGTACTTGGGATCACATTACGAAAACTGCCCTGACTTTGCCAGTCTTCAAGGTCTTCTGGAAAGCCGCATCCCATCCTAGAGGGAAGTGGTTTTCCTGGCTTGCCTTGTACTCTCGACTCCCTACTATGGCCCTACTCCAATCTTGGGGGCTTCCTTTGGTTACATGATGCCCCTTTTTCCTCCAAGAGGAGAAATCCACTAACCATATTATGGCGATCCATTCTCTAGAGGTTCGGCAAAAGTATGTCACTAGAGCAAATCCCGATCATGATGATGATAAAATGGTTCAAATTTTGTTTCAAATCTATAAGGATGAAGAATGTCTAGCTCTCCACTTTCTCCATTACCGTTTGGTTCCTATAGGAAGAGCGCAATGCACGTATCTTTGATAGTCGAAGGTGTTTGAGGGAGCAACTACTGGAGCGCATCACCCACTTTGTCAGCAAGCTTATGGAGGGGAAGGGATGGTCCTTTCACCCATCAGAAGTCGACATCTCCACATACCTCACGCTTCAGTGGCATGCCGAACCCCCTTCCACCTCAATCTAGATTATGGTCCTTCCCTCCCATGGAGCGCTTCAAGCTCAACATCGATGGCTCGTCCCTTGGTAATCCGGGCATTGGGTTATGGGGGGATCCTAAGAAATGACACACGAGGTTTTTTAGGAGCATTTTCCACCCCTCTCAGTCCCACCTCTACCAATGCAGCAGTATTCCATGCTTTGAATTGGGGCATCTCTCTGGTACAGGAGTTGGACTGCCACCCAACTCTAAACTGTTAATGGAATCGCTCACCCACCATAGCTCGACCCCTTGGAGGCTGTGCACCCTGTTGTCCAATTGCAGGACAAAGCCCTTCTCCTGCACTAATCACCATTGGAAGATATCACATGCCTTCCGGGAGGCGAACATGGTCCCTGATTGCCTGGCAAAGAGTGCGGCATCGATGGCTCTAGCCACAGTATGACGGGGCTCATCCCCTAGATTTTGAAATTCCTTTTATTTTG